AATGTAGATGAGAATGACAAGAATCGACTAGCTCACCTTGCCAAAACTGCCCACCATTTCTTGTACCAAAGAGCGCATAGGTGCAATGTAAATGATTTTGAAATCATCTACATTGATGGTCCCATCAACATTGATGTGTTTTCCAATTTCTCTCAACATAGCCATCAGAGCAACATTAGTCTTTCCAGCACCCTATAAACACAGAGAATATGTTAATAATATTGTTATATTAGAATTGACAACGATCTAATGATATACTTACCGTAGGAGCACACACTAAAAGGTTCTCATCACTTTCCATGGTTGTCTTGAACAACTTGCTCTGGATGCGGTTAAGGTTTTTGAATCCCTCAAACCCAGCCTGAGCGTACTTGGGTAATTTTTCAATTGCAACCAGGACCTGATGTCAAAATAGGAGGTTGTAATTAGATTTTAATAAAAACAAGAGGAGCAAATAGAAGATAAATGGGTGACATTTTAAGTTAATCAAATGACAGGATAAACCTCATCATCAGCAAAAGGTTTGGGTTTGAGGGCCGGCACGTGGACTTCCTCATAGCCTTTGCGCTGTTTGCGAAATGAACCATCTGGAAGCTGACACCTCTTGTTTGCCATAAAGTGGCTTCCTTGTGTGAACGCCAGGTCATCCAAGTCTAGCAACTGTCGAGGGGCAACTGACTGCAAAACAAGGGTGATGTAAACAAATTATATCCCACACAGTGAAGGCAATTAAGCATCACACAGTTACAAATAAATATATTCACCTCTCCATGGTCAATGTCCATTGCTTCCAAGTCATCAACACGAGACTTTCTGACCCTTTCTCTGCGAGATCGCTCCTCCTACAAGCATGAATGGAATTATTATTGTTAAATTAAATGAGACAGTAATTAACATATTTCAAAAACAGGACTTTACCCGAATAATATCCTCCTTCTCAGTCTCCTGTAGCTGATAAAGAATTTTTGACAATTCCTGATCCGACTCCATTTTTCCAATGATGCGCTCTTTTTCTGATTCACTCTGTGCACTTGCCAGCATTGTACAGTACTGGACTGAAAATAGAGAAATGTTTAAATAAAAAAGTTAACATAATAATGTCCTTTTCAGCAATAACTTACTCATGCGGCGATGTTGGCGGAGAACTTTGATGAAGTCAAAAGTGTTGAAACCGAGCAGCAGCACAAGCTGGTTCTCACATTCTCTATCATCACTGGCAGTCTGAAGAAAACCGTGCCAATTGAAAGTACATTTCATCCAAACGATAACACATATACAGTACATACAAAATCTGAGGCTTTCCAGGTGACAAATAAAAAAAAAATACCTTGAGAATTTCCAAGACTTCATCAGCTTTCTTTTGAGAAACAATAGCATCATCGTAAAAGCGACTGAGCTGACGCTGCAGCCAGAAGGCATCAATGTCTCTTGGATGGAGATCTTTTTTCTTCACAGTCATCACATCACCTGTGACACCAAGCTAAACAAGAAATACAGTTTCATTATTTCAGGCGATTGTGAAGAAAACCATTGCATACGTTACTTATTATGTAAAAATACTTACATTGGCTGTCAGAGTAGAACTGACATCTGCTTCTTCTCCTTCGCTGTCTTCATCTGAATGCTCATCTCGTACCTCACCAAACTGATCTTCATCACCCTCCTAAGTACACAAAAATAAAAATTAACTTATGTTTACATGACAGTACTATATGAAAAACAAGGCATACCTCTTCATCAGATTCAAACTGGACATTCACTCCATACGTTTCATCAATGTTCTCATCTGCAGAATATGATTTGGTTTAATACTTCCTTAATTAATGCTTCCTTTAAACAGTCCAAAAAGTAAGGACTTACCCATATTTTGTAGGTCCTTATCACCTCCATAGTCTGTAATTTTCTTTCCCAAATTGACAAGCACATGATAACGAGTATCGTCAGCAGGGCCAAGAAGCTGCTCTACCTCACGACGCCTTTCCTTATCCCTCATTTTATCATTCTTCAGCACAGCCAGGACTTCATCTGCTGCTCCACACAGGATGTCTCTTGGCTGTGTAATTTACAATAATGCAAGAGTATATTTTCATGACCAAATACTGGCAAAAAGAGAAAATGTATAAATGGATAAGTGTATGTAGAAATCTGACCTGATCTCCAAGAGCGGCATGTATAAAGCTGAGCAACACTTCATATGTCTCCCGTGTTTCTTTAGTTTTAGGCTTGTACACAATGCCCACCATATCATCAATACCTTCAGAAAGCAAGGTAAACCCTTTCATTTTATTGATGTCATGCCTGTCTTCATCTCTCTTTCGTCGCCTAGGTGGAAAAACAAAAAACAAACCCTGTAAACAGCGTAAAGATCCATATACATCTGCAAGATTTGGTGTAAAGTCACTGACTTGTCTCGTCTCTCCTCCAGCTTTTGAGGCTTGGTCCTTTGCGCTTTATCGCCCATTTTGGTCCCCTCCAGCTTCCCCACAAGGGACAGCACCTCTCCTGTGGGCTCATCTCTTCGTGTTCGGTCGATCAGAGAACGATCCGCTTGCAGCACCAAGTTTGAGTTCTTTCGTTCAAAACAGAAGCACAATCGGGACTCGGTAAGTAGGCCAAATACTAAGCAAAACAACTAAAGACTATATTAGAATTAGAAATATTTCCCTCCATTATGATTCAAATTCATTACATGTTAGCACAATATGTTCTAATATTTATGCTGTAGTTTTAATTCCAAAAGTGAACTTACCGCTTTGTACTCGTACTGCAAGTTACGAGCAGTAACATCCGCCATAGCTGCGACTTAAACTTACTTATTTTTGTCTGCTAGCTTTCAGTCTAATAAACACACTTCGCTTCGTGCAAACCCCGTTTGCTTGGCCTTAACTATAACACAGCATTTGGACGTTTTCTTGACGTTACAATGGCACCTCTAACACGACACGAGCCAACAACAAGCGCCACTCTGCCGGATTATTTTCAGTTCCGGGTTCAAAGGTGGGACGTAGCAAAAACTTTAGCGCCCTCTACTGTTTTGGCGACCACACTATTTTTTGATCTACGTTATAAAGTGGCTTCCTTATCACGAACGTACCTGGAGTTGTGTTTGTCTCATTCACACATGTTTAACGCACAAATCTTCCATATTTAGGCTAAGTCCTTATCTCAAAAACGCGCTGTTCCACCTTGTGACGTCATGTGGTACTACGGAAAGTGCTCCACTGTATTTTTAAACGCCATACACCTTTAGTAGAATCATTTGGGTAGTTTCATTCCTGGAATTGCCCATCTCTGCTGAACTAAAGGTAAAAGGTCATGACATCATGACATCACAAGGTTGAACAGAACATTTTGAGCTTTGGAGATGCAGACAGACTAATAATAAAGAGTTACTTAAACGTGTGAATGAAACAAAACACAACTCCAGGTATGGTTTGAGGAGGTAACGACATTAGCATGACTTGAGGCTCACAAGCGTCAATTCTGCATAACATAGGATCTTTAAATTTACTCGCTGGGGAAGTCCCTCAGGCCCTTGCCCCTGAACCCAAAAGTCGGTAGTTTGATCCCCGCTCTTGCCAGTGCCTAGTATTGTTGTGTCATTTGTCCTTGGCCACTTTTCCCAAGTCACACTGTCACCAAGGTTTCAGATGTATGAATGGGTTATTGGTTCCATGCTGTTAAGTGCTTATCGAATCTCCTTCTTTAACTTGAGAATAAAAGTCGAAAAACATTAATGGATGTGTGTATCTTTTTTATGTGGTAAAATGTTGTCTGGCATACTTAAGTGCTATTGTATTGTAATTTCCTAGTACTAAAATTTAACATTACAATTTTTGCCTGCTATTGTCTTTTCAGTAATTATTTGTGAACAAACACATCAGTTATATGCCTGTCGTTACTTGTTACTCCAACAGCTTATTCCCTTCGACTTAAACAGCCTCATATTGGAAAAATAGACAACTTGATGGTTTTAATAGGATATCCAAATTATCTCGTATCTGGGGTCAGGCTCAAGCTTCTTGTGTGACCCAGACTAGATTTAAAGATAGAAGTGACCCTGGTCCACAGTCTGTAACAGTGTATTAACAGAGGATGTGAAAGAGGCCAGGTTACACAAGGTGAGGTATTACACCTAGTCATGCACCAGGCATGATATAAGAGATATTTATGTCCACTCTCACTTTAACAACTGACTGATTGATTATCAAGTTCTTTGGTTGTCTGAGGACTTTTGTATTATAAAATGTAGCAAATTTTATATTAAATCATTACTTGTCATGGTGTTAACTCAGCAAATCTTTGTGTTTTCTTAATGGTCTGTTCTAATCAGACAAAAACAACAAAACAAGGCCATAATAATGTCTCTCTGTACAGTTTTATTTACATGATACTATTCTGTCATAATGCTGGATAGCAAGATTATATGTAATACATAAATAAACACAGTTTGTTTTTTCATTTTTTTGTACAAATTTGCATATAACTAAGAATCAAAAACTCAAACGGATACATACACTTTAAAAGAAAAAAAAAAAAGAAAAACATCCTTACAGGAAGAAGAGAAGTGGGATCAACACCTGTCACAGACATACACAGGGTTTTCATTATATCTGGCAGTCATGGACACGTTCACACATGCATTCAGAGTCACACACGCACACACACGCACACACGCAGCTACTGTGCTCTATTTGAAGACACACAAATCATTAGCAATTAGATGAGAAATTACATCTAATCTTGGTATCTATTTTCATAAGTCCAGCTCTGGCATGCTCTTGTAGTTCTGTAAACATGTGCTGATAAACCTGGTAGCTCCACAGACAAAAAGGGTTGAATACTCCCACTACTCACACTCACACACTCTGCTCACAAACATTGTTAGCGCAATTTAAAAAACAAAAACATGGTTCACATACCCTAATTCCACAAATGCACTGAATTACATGCGCTAACATCAGTACAATACCGATGGAAAAGGAAAAAAAAGCTAATAAAACAGAAAATTGTCTTTCAGCAAATAAAATGTGTTAAACTCTAGTTGAGTGATGCCAAATTTCTTAGATTATACCAGAAACACTAATGCTGATCAAGAGTAACTCATGCATTTATCCCAATCATTCATGCCCCTAAATTCACCTTCCAGGCAAAGGTGCTACCCTTTCACCTGGGTCACTCATATTAGTACACACAGCCCTAAACCAGGCATCTCAAATACAATCTTGGTTAAGGTAACTAACAGATGAAGCCCACTGTGAATATTTAGTATACTGGAGTCCTTGTCCTTGGCTAGCAGATACCCCCAACCATTTTAAACCAGCCTCATCACAATCAAATTGATCAACGTCACAAAGACATTTGGATCAAAGGGTCATTGAGGCTGATGATCAAGTGTGGACTGAAAACGACCCAATTTTCTACTGTGGTGAAAAAAGTGAATACAACAATGCTAAACACGGCAGCTGTGAGGTAGGTAAAGCTAGGAAAGACAAAGTAACAAAGCCCCTTGTGCACAGTAGGGGACAGTTGTACGATTCTCCAAACATTGACAGACTCCAATACCAACGGACACAGTAGAAGATGAGTTTAAACAGTCAATGGGTGTAGTATGGATGAAGGGCTGGCCAGTGTCTGACACATGACAAGCTCTGGGTACAATGGCTGCCTACAGTTTGGCACAAAATGGCGCCTGGTATAGCTGAGAGGAGCACAGCATATCTTGACAGTTACCCTGGGCTGCTCTTAATAAGACAAAACTTGTTATAAAAAATAGAACAGCGGAAAAGTCACACCACAGAAAATAGGATAAAACGAACTAATGAATTATTCAGAAAAGTGATCATTCATGCATCTTGAAAGAATCTTTTCATTTTTTCTTCTCCCCACAGTTATTTTCTTGAATTCTTGAGCAATTTTGTAAATCAAGTCCATGTAATATTCACTTTGCCACTCAAAAGGTTCACACTCATTCTCCAGTCTTTTTCAAAGGTGTCATCATCATAATCATGATCAGATTGGCACATTTTATATTCTCTGGATCTTGTCGGCCACCACCACAGGGTTTTCTTTACGGATCTTGGCAGCAGCTTCGGCCTTATAGTCGTAGGGGCAATTGTGCTTGTCGGAATATCGGTGGATGCCACAGAAAAGGTTGCCACAGCGACAGTCGAATCCTAAAAAAGGATTAATTAAAATTAAGAGATTAATTTAGACAAATATGACAATGAACAGTACTATAAAGATCTGACTAATACTCACCTGTAAGGCCCACTCGCTTGCGGCACATAAAGCATCTGTTCTTCTTAGGTTTGGGGGTGTCTCCCTTATTTTCCTCACTGCTAGAAGAGGCTACAGGGGCAGGACTAGATGCGGCAGGCTGGTTTACAACTACAAAACAAAAACAAAATATCCCATTTGTTACTTAACTTCTAACAAACAGTTCTTTAACAGCTTTCATTTAACAAAACACCAATCTGCCCCATTAGCGTTTGACAGCGTTAAACAACTGTAATTTTGTACCTTTGTAATTACAACATTATACTCACAAAAGAATTATCTTTTAATTCTTGTTCTTGTTGAAAATAGTGCACTAACCCCAGGAAGCTCCTAGCAGACTGAATCAAATCTGAGAATGCCCTCTGGTGTAGAAGTATTTTTAAACGGGTTTATTTTGGGCTGCCTCTCTTTCTTGGAGGCTGTAAGTAAAACCCACAGTTGGTATGCAACACTGAATCTAAAATAATCTGTGGTCATGGAGGGTCCAAGAAGGCAATGCGTGCGTAAAAATGGCCATATGAGAACAGTTACAGGCACATGTGTTTACCCTCAGTGTGTGTATATTTGTATTGAGGAAGTCTTACCAGGCTCTAATGGTTCAGCTTTATCCTCTCTAGAGATGCTCATCTCTGTCATTTGTTGGGTGACAGGAAGAGATCCTTGAACAGTTCTGAAAACATATAAAAAAGTGAAAAATGCTGCCATTATAAAGAAAGAATTATATAATATATAATATATCTACATATATCTATATATCAATCTATCTCTCTCTCTTACCTAGACATGCCTGGTGATGAAGCTGGAGAAGATTCAACCTTGGCTAGACTTGCTTCTAGTCTCTGGATAGCTGAAGCCTCTGAGGAAGGACTAGCAGCTGAGCCTGAACAAACCAAAATCATAATTTATGTAAACAGAATCAAGAGGTTAAAGAACACTGTTAAATATATGTAAATGAAGCTATATTCATAATCATTGTAGTTTTTTTTTGCTGAGTCTCACTGATGGTAGGACACGTTTTAACTTGTTGCTATATTTAGACCAAGAGAAACTTGGTTGACCTTAGAGGTTTCTCAAACATCCCTCACAACCTTAAAGACAAAAACAGTTTCCTCACAGTGTTTTATTACACTGTGAGGAAAAACAAAGAGGTGGGCAAGATCTGGATGGATTTGAACTAAGCTATCGTGCTTCACAAACCCCCATCTCAGTACGCACTAGTGGTGTTACTTATTAGGTTAAACTCACCCATTGGACTGAGAGGGCTCATGCGGTCGCTGCTCTGCTGCCGTGTCAGGTGCTCCTTATAACAAACAGAGCACATGCCATTGGTTCTGGGGTTTCCATAGAAACCACAGCCTGTGGCACAAAGCATGGGCACAGGGCTCTGGTTCGTCTCTTGGGCCATTTCTGAGAAAAAGGAAAAAGGGGTGGTTATATTTGGCATACATAGTGAATACTCAAGTCTGTTCCAAATTAAAAAATGGACTCGTCATTCCTGTTCAGATGAAACTCAAACGCCCTTTGGTAACGTAAGAGCTAGCTGTGTTATGAAAATCTGACAACAACAAGCCTGTCAAGCCAGCTATGATATGAGAACTACACAGCAGGAAGCCTCAAAGACAAACACAGCCACTGTTCAGAACCTTTGGCAGAACATGTACTGTCCCATTTAATCACTGTATCCTCTTTTGTCTCCCTGCACCCTTTCTGTGGGCCCTGAGAGCATTTGAAACTGAAATAACACTTGGCAATACAACTATCAACAACTGTACTGATAAGTGTGCAATAACATATTGTTTACAGTGATCTAATCAATGCAGTGACATATATTTGAGAAAACAGATCTCCCCCATCACTTATTATTCAATCACAAAAGGCAATTTAAATCTTCTGACATCACTTCTCATCACACATCCGCTGATAAAACAAGCATGTACATGGCTTGCGTAGCCATGACGTTGAGCTAGACTGCAGTGCAATACAAAGAGGAAGTTGTGCAATGGAAGACGACTCTGTCTTTTGGGACACCAACACAAAGACACCTTGATGAGCGAGCAGGCCAGGATTAGATTAGTTGAGTAAGACACATCCTGTCTTCGAGTGAAGCTGATTGTTTTTTAAATCAACTAACCTTGACAAGAACAAATCTAGGGCTTCACTGCAGTCTTTGTACAGTATCGCCTTTCCCTTGTAAACAACCTTTGGTTGTGTTGTGCTGTAACTCGGCAGCTGCTCCCTAGCACTGCCGCGAAGCTCGTTTGTATTCTGCTCTCAGACATAAACAGGGCAGCCCAATGTTCCTGCTGCCTATTTCAGAAAGTCCTGTCAGTTCACTTGAGGTGTCCTGACCTCAACAGCAGACAACAAGTGCATTTTAAATCTTCGAGCCTCCCCCACCCCACACACGTCTCCCTTTTCACCCCTGCATGCTCTCACCACTGTGTCAACAAAGGGTTTCCTTGGAAATGCCTACAAAGCCCATCTTCTCCTTTGTGTCACATGCTCAGCTGCTGACTACTGGAAATGTCACACAGGACAGGCAAATAATGGAATGTCATTGCCAGTTTTCAAAGTAATTTCACCACATTTCTGTGTACTTACTTATTTAAAAAGCATAAAGCCAACTACAACAATTTGTTACAGTATTTAAGCCTGCTCTTTCAGATTCTGGTACTTGGCACATCCTAATTTGGCCTTCAGGTCAAACACTTCTGCTGCTGCTTCAACTTTATCACCCACTGACAAACAAAAACAGAACACAATAGAGATAGGCAGGCTAAGATTAACCACCATGTTTACTTGTGACACATGGAAACAATGGTGGAATCAGCTGACATGTTTGGTACCAGCTGTCATGGCAGAGCTGTTCTCTTCAACAAATAGCAACAAGGATACACAATGCTTGGCAATTATTTGGTAAGTAATCCTAGAGACATGTCTATTAAATGGCATAGGGATCATTTTAGTATGTACAATTTACAAACAACCTACATCCTGCCATCTACAGCTAGTCTATCTTTAAGGGTATCAAATTCTTCCATCAGATGTGGTTAATCTTCTCCAACAGACAGGGCAAGTCAGGGAATTTCCAACACACAGTTCAGACAGCCCTACGCTACAGTTGTCCACTATCTACTTCCTTTAACAAAACCACAAGCATAAACGCTAGTCAAAATCATCTGGACTAGTTTGGCATGAAATTAGATCACTTCAAGGCAACTGCTAACAACTGAACCCTTCCGTGTGACTGATAATCTATGGCCAACAAAAGGGGAAGACTAGGCTCCTTTATCAACCACAAGCTTAGCTCATATTTCAGCAGGCCTTGCTCTGGCTAAAACTACTGAGTCACACTCAATGGCTGGCCTTAAATGACTACTGCAGGTTTACCAATGCCTCAATTTAGAGCTTTAAAGGCGCATGTAAATTAAGAATCGCAACCAAAGAGGACAAAAAGCTGTATTTTGTACGTTTTCCAGAATATCCAACAGTCTAGACAGTGTGGTCGTCTCTCGTCTTTGTTTCTTCTTTAGTCCTTTGTCTACCAGCTCCGCTCCTTGCTTCCTGTTCCGTTTACAACCTCTCCATTATCAAGTCGTTTTCAGTAACAGCCATTTTCTCAATGTATTCTATGAAGCAATGTGAACAACCTCTATTATATAATCACTCTTTTGCGCTTGGGATCAAATTGGTGGTGCCAAAGAGCCCTGAGTCGACCTGACCGTGTAATCCCTAGGCTAGAAACACGTCACAATCGTGTACTTGGTCTCCAGTGAAGATATAAAGAAAATTTTAGTATAATTCTCGATCTACTTGGCTATTCGGCTCGTGAATTTTCTATTTCTAGACAAGGAATTAAAAGGCTTTAGTTCCCCCATCCCCCCAGCTCTGGGCAAATACGGCACAGACAGGACTAGCTCAGCACCCTCCCTTGTTTTTCTCTTTAACGAGACAGAGTCGCGTCCGGGGACTTGTGATCTTTCCAATCATGGAGATATGATAGTGTTGACTGCGTGGATAACTTCCGTGAGCAAACGCTGATAAAAAAACAAAACAAAACATAAAACCTTGTTTATCACATTACCCGAAACGTGTGCACCGCCTGACCTTTCAGTCCACGAAGAAAGGTCGCCATGACGCACCACTGGCCCATCGCTCAATCATTTTCTCTGCCAACCTACCGTATTAACCAACGTCAACACAAAGTACAATAGGAATAAACGACATTTACCTTATCAGGTCGATGGTAAACCTCTAGGGTGCTCTTCTTGTAAGATCACGGATGAAAAGATAAACGTCTTTGGGTCTAATCAAGGTATTTTGCCGTATTTGGTGATGTTTGCGTGGTAGTCCTTGCTGCCAGACTGTGTGAAGCTGGATTTCGCTCTCCTTCCCCTCGCCGTCCTACCTCTTCTTTCTCTCCGTGCCCCGTTCCTTCTGGATAGATGTTTGTTTCCTTCTTTAGTAAGAGGAGTGGCGGGTGATGTCACGGGTAAAACAACGTGTCGCTATTGGCTGCCTGCGGAGCCCCGAGCGAAATCCACAGCTCCGCTAGACGGATGTGCAGCGGCGTGGCGGGGGGAGAGCACCACTGCGCATGCCCACAGTCAGGATTGCGTTATTACACATCCATTCGTCATCCTCCTACAAGGACACGAATCTTTTTTATTGAGTAATCCACCTAAATGAATGGGTAGATGAATAATAGCACGGACAATCAAATGAGCACACATATGAATAAGGCAAGCGCAATGTTCTTGTGTGTCTTTTTGTGTGGTTTCGTTATAAGGAGTAGGCTACACCTTTGTGATACTTTTTCCACCACGGGATCAAAACACGGGTGCCCACTTCATGTTCATGGGGACTTTTGCCACTAAATAATCAACACTCTGAAACACACGGTTATACACTTTATAACATAGCAGATATACAGCTGTTGTTTGTTTTTGGTGGGAAATGCTGTCTCATTTGACAGTTAACCCTCAATACTGTGACAGTGAGCCTGTAAACATGTTGTGACAGGTTACAAAAGATAAAAACTGACACTGAGCCAGGGGAGTACTGTGAGCACACAGCTTCTATATATTTGCAAAACAGTTGTGAAATACACAGCAATAATCTCACACATATGTTAAGTAATCCTAATAACGGATGAGGAGTAGGATACTACTGTTGTGATTACTCTGTGTTTATATACAAACACGTTTTTGACTTTTGTTTTGAAGATTTTAAATGCAGGACCTGAAGATTGCCCTGCAGGTTGAACAAGCTGCGACATATTTTGCTGCGTTGTCAAGCCTAACGTCACACTATAAGGTGCGCTGAGTTCAAAACAAACTTTAGCGCAAGTGGAGAGAAACATTTCGTCATGAATCAAATGAGCTGGTTCATGGAAACACTAGGGTCTGGTACAACCTGGAAGTCTCAAGACTAAACTAGGACATACAGCTTGTTAGAAATCCCTAATCTTTCTGAAGGGAATATTCCCCACTCATGACTATTTCTCTTTCACTATCTATGATTCCTGTAGCTATAACAGTTTACGTGAAGAGATAAGGTTACATGAGTTGTAAAATACACACACAGCAGCAGTCATGTTGTATAAATAATGAAGCCACATAATGTTTTATCAGGTTTCTCTTATTTTGGGGCCAAAAACTATTTCGTGACAAATTGTTACCTAAGAAACCACACATGTGTGATACAATTTCTGTTAATTTAAAACACACAAAACAAAACCATTTCATACACAACAATTGTCAACAAAATAATCACAAGGGCATTATATCCACTATCATACCATGATCTTTTGTTATCTTTGTACAACAAGCTAGTTTTAATCATAGTTCTGGTCTTATACAGCTTACATCAATCATTGTGTGTTAGTAGTATCTTGAGTGTCAAGTAAAACATTTAAAGTAAGTATAATACATAAAATGTTCCATAATCACCTGTCCGGCTCTGGGATTGCGCCACAATGAGATGTAATTATATGGAAATTATACACTGATCCAAATCCATGCATTATTTACATATACTAGTAAGTAAGAAAAGACCAGGAAGGGAGGGGTCAGAAGAAAACCTATGCTTACAGCGAGGTCTTTGTGTGACTGTTTTGTTAATGCTGTCCCTTCACTGGGAGAAAATAGGGCTGTGTCTGTGTATGTGAAATCTATGTCTCCTTAGTATGTGAAGGTTCATGGGTTTCAGTAAGGGGAGGGTGGCAGCTGAGGAGAGAGTGGGAGGTGTTGAGTATCATTACCCATCCCCCCCAGTCTCTCTGCTGTTATTGCTCTAAACATGCAAGCTTGTGTAGAGCACACTGTATGTATGTGGGTGGGTTAAAGTGAGCTGCTGCTCTAGGGGGCTAGTCTAACTGTATGAACATGTCAACAGCCATGACAGGCACACGTGAGCTCAGTGTTGCCATGACTGCACTGAGTTTGAGCCTCTTTTTGTTGCGTGTCAGTGTATGTGTGGGGGATTACTTATATGAATCTAGATCAACCAGGCAGTGGTTACCAGGCAGATCTGACACAGACAAGGTTTGCCACAGTAGTGTCGTTGTGGTGGTGGACCACTTGATAAAAGGGGGTTGCTGGTGGAAATAGCAGCTTATCCATTTACATAAGCTGTGTGCAGTTGATAAGGTGCACTAAAAACATTTAAACTTGCCCTCCTCCCTGCCCCATTCAAATGTATGTGAAGCCCTGTGGAGGGGATTTTGGGAGGTGTGTCTAGGCATGTCCTTTGAAAAGAGTTGTGAAAAACAACTTCAGAAACAAAGTCATTAATATCCAATATTGTTTTATAATACAATATCTAAATTCGGGGCAAAATAAAAATTAAGCCCACAATCACTTGACCATTGATAAGCAAGCAAAAGTTGACAATTAGATTTGTTTTGCCTTAGAAAAAAAAACAACAAATCAAAAAATGTGCTGATTCGGCAGCCCTTGACCACTGAGCCTTGTGCCTTGGCTGGCTGATACAAAACTCCCCCACAGATCTTGTGAATGTTTTTTTTTTTTTTTTTTGCCCAGGGAGGAGTTCCCCCAACTTCCAGAGTTCATCCACTCAAACCTTTTCTTTCTACACTATGTCTCAAAGTAAATCAGGTACATAGAGTATATACATACAGAAAGTAAAGAGACAGCTTGAATTTCTTGCAAAATGTACTTATACTGTTTTGCATACTTGTGCATAGTGCATATTCCATCCATATCTGATGGTTTGTTCTTTTCAGGTGATAGATGATCTGCTGAGGATCTCAGGCATGTGTGTGAGAACAAATGCGTAGCTCAGCATGTGAGCGCACATGTGTTAGCAGCAGATGTCCTGAGTGTGCTGTGTTCCTCAGACTGGCTGCTCTTTGTTGGCGCTCCCTCGTGCAGACGGCTTAGGCCACGTGCTTTTCTGTCTGCTAGTGCAAGCCCCGCCCCCTGCACTTTAATCCGTCAATCGCAGATGCCAAGTCCCGCCTCTTCACAACACCCGTAGTCTTCTAGGACCCTCCCGTATCTGATGACGCTGTTTTACTCATGCATTCTTACCATACGCTCTCTCTCTCAAGCACAGTGCACACATCAACATAATGTACTTGTAACCCAGTCAACATTTACAAGAAATCCAACGTTCTTTCTTTAGTTTGTAGCACAAAAGCTCAAAAAACATGTTTTCTTTCTACTTTGCCATAAAGAGTGAGTCACTTCCAGTCTGTTCTCCTGAGAAACAGGAAGAAGGAATTTAGTTTGGGGCAAGAAAGGGAGGATAAAAATCCACAGGCTTAGTAATGGAATGTAATAATAGTATAGTATTTTTTCTACAGTGAAAACATGTGCGCAACTGCACTTATAATACTACAAAACAAGTTCTAACTGTTCACAACACTACCTTTAAGGTAAACAACATACAGTATAATGGCGTAATTACATAGCAGATAAGAAGTCCTCTTTACAGATTTAACACCTAGAAAACCTGAAGTTCTTCTGCTCACTGTCTGACAAAAACAGACACGTTTTGACCTGAGGTCATGCTGCTTTGCAGTCAAGATCACGAGATGATCAGAATCTACAGGTAAAGGATGGATACCACAGCTATGCCTGCTTTAGAGAGACCTCATAATAGCTGCCCTAGTTCAAGAAGAAATACAAGTTTGACCTTGTAGTGGGCCGAGATTGTCTTCTCCATTTGGTTCTCCTTATCACAAGCTTTTCTGTCAGATGGCTATTTATTTTTAGTGCATTGTATTAACCTCTTCCTTGGAGTGCTGTTTTGCTACTTATCTGACCTGCTTTTTTTGTGGCTGAGAGTAATGGTAACAGACCCATCAAATGTTGCACCATTTGACTAATATAGGGCACAGTGTCTTTTTTGTGCTGATAACTGGGTGTATGGGATGAGTCAGCGTCTAAGGCCTGTGTGTTGGAAGACTAAAATCAATAAAATGTAAACATGATGACAAGAAAGTCTGTGCATAATAACAATCATCATCATCATCATCATCATCATCATCATCATATGATAATGACACAGTTTTTAACCTTCTAAGTTAGATTTTAATTTTATTTTAGATTCTTATAGTCATACGTGAATTAATAAGAATCTCAAAATTATACCCAATGATAAATTAAATATGGTACTTAAAAATAAATTCCAATATTGATTACTAGGCCTATAAAGTGGTACACAGTGTGAAAAGTCTGAGAATCCAAGCTCTATGTGCATATTGAAGATGTGCTTCAGTCTGTTTTGATGTCACGCTCTGCTCATGTGATCACATTGACTCCATGACCTTTCTGTGCAGCGCTTCTGTCAAAGCAGCGGCTAAATTAAGCATAGTCTGTAACTGATATGATTCCACTCATTCACCTTTTAAAACATCAACTGTAGAGCTCATGAACAGACATGCTTAGAAAAACTTTGCTCAGAACATACGCAATACTCACGTGCCTGAAAGCAGTTTCAAAAAGGCATTTTCTAAGAACTTGTCTGACCCAAGAGATGATTGTGAATCTAAAGCTACGTCGCCCTCTACAGGTTTAGAAGAGTAAGTTAGTTATTTCTTAAATTACTACAGTTTACTACATTGACACAGTTGAAAAGTGGAGAGAGTACTCTGTGTACTAAAAGTTCAGGTTTGTATTTAGTTTAAAACATGCTCAGTTGAATCAGATTACAAAAAAGAATGTGTTCATCTGAGTAAAGACTTGATTAAAGTGCAGAGCTATTGAGTTTAAAGAGGAAAACACACTTAGTACTTCTACTACTACTACTACTACTACTACCATTACTCCAACAGATCACTACTACCAAAGTCAGAAGTACAACTGCCTATGATACAGCTACTATTGTAACTGCCACTAACATTGTAATTAAAACTGTATTTAGGTCACCAAAAGACCACAGAGTAAAAACATGGCAGTAGACCCACTTCCCCACTTCCATTTCTTTTTGTCATTTAGACAACTCATAGGCACGCAAAACCTGCAATGACAATGAAAATAATGTGTACTTCATTCATCATTCACTATTTATAATGGTCTGTGCTGGGCTTGTGATGCCCCTTGATATTCAACATTTTAATATTATCAAACAAAAGAACATTTCAGTTAAACTGACCACACTGTTCTGGCAGCGCGAACTATGGAATAAAAAGCTGTAGCCTGTTTATTAAAAAAAGCAATAGAATGGAAAACCAAACTTAAAATCATCAACAAAACAGATGAATTCCTGGCTAAAACCTGGCAAATATAAAATCTTAACATGTAATCTAATGTAATATAATTTTAAAAAGGCACAAAAAATCTCATAAACATTTCTTTTGCCAAAAACGACACAATTAATGTCTGTCAACATGCACAGCTGCATAAAGGCAGTCATATCTGTTTTGAATAATTCATCTGCAGTGAAATTGCGTGGCTCTAGGGTTTCCATGCTTTCATTGTCCCTGTTTCGGGTCGATGGGTGACGAGAAAAAGTGAACTTCTCATGAGACTTACCCATCCTGTAGGAGTCCATGGGCCACAAACAGACAGTCGGTCATGCATTTTAACTGCATTGAGGGGTGGGACGAGGTTCATCCAATTGTGCCAAGAGAGCCATTATTAAAAGAGGGACACTTAAAACTCACCCACTTCACATGAGCCTTACATCTGAAGGGGGACTGGTCAGCAGCACTGGACAGGAGCATGAGAGAAGATGTCCCGGGACAATCTCATCACCTCCGACATTGACAGTAAGGATTGACAATCATCTTAATTCTCCGATTGAGTCTTCCTTCTTGATTAAATCTGGAAACACAGACATAATATGTTTTTAAATCTCTTTTGCTGTTGAAGTCTTAATAGTAATTTGTAAATTCTTTCAGCATATCTTGAAACATTTCACTAAGATGTTCTTTTGGGAGATGTTGGGAGCTCTCTCCTAGCACTTATTTTATCCCTCCATCTCTATAACATTAGGCCACTGTTTGTCTGTTTTGTGACCCTCAATGCACATAGACGTAATGACCCTTATGCTAGCCACTCCGATTACACCAAGGACACACATCAAAGCACAGACTACATAAATATCTGTTCAGTCCGTCAGTGGTCCCCATTGTTTGGCCCTTGATCCACCTTTTACCAGGGAACAATAGTGCCAGGTACACAATAAGGTGTGCTGAGGGCCACCACTGAAAAGCCCCATTGTTGTAGGTATAAAACAAATAGGATGGATTTAAACTGAGGTCATCTGAGGAGAAACAGGGCACAAGGCAAAGAAGGCAATTTATGGATGTGGTACAATGTAGTAACTGCATTTCTATTCAAAGTACTTTAATAACAATCTCTTTCCCAACAGTTAACATTGGATTGGACTCAGGTAAGTTCTTTTGCCATTATTAGAATAGTTAATTTTCTCTCTCACAAAATCACTCTTGTGTTAGTTTAGTCATGTTTTTCTTAATCCTTTATCAATCTTTGTAACACAAATGGTGCAGTGACTTTCAACACAGCCGTGCACCCTAACAAAGTTTGAAGAGAATATCAAGTATATTGGATTATTAAACCTATTTTTAGATAAAAATTATCATATGGTTAAAAAGGTATTTTATAGTCTATGTATACCTTAACACATTTCTAATGAATTCCCATAATATTGTCCTAGTATTTTCTAGTTTTTGGTCATCCTAGGCAAGTTAGTGGTTCAGGGGCCTAGATTGAAATAATATTACAGTAAAAAGATTCTTTAGACCACAAACACACACAGTTGTACATCATGTGACTCATATCATCAATTAAACAATTAGTTAGGTAGTTATTAGTTTTTCCCATTAGACTAAAATAATATAATCATATAAATATGATGTAACTGAGTGAAATTGTTGTACTCCTAACTCCAGCTGATGAGGACCAAACCTCTCAGGAAGATAATGGTCAAGACAAAAATAAGAGAAGAAGAAAAGCGAATGACAAAGAGCGTCACAACAGAGGCAGGAGCAGAAGCCGAGCCTCCAGCGCCGGAGAGGAGACCAAGGACCTGGGGGAGCAAGGTAAGAAACTTGACCGGAGCAGAAGAAGAAAAACACAGAATAATCACAAAAAAAGAGAACAACAAGAAGATGAAGAAGATAAAGAGGAGGTTCAAGAGAAAAAGGACAAAGCAGCAAAGAGCAAGAAATATCTGAAGAATGAAAAAACCAAAAGGAAAGAACAAGACTCGGAGAAGGATGCTGAAGAAACAGTGGAAAAAAGGAAAGACAAAAAGAAGGAAAAAAAAGACAAAAAAGAAAAGAAGGAAAAGGAGACAATAAAGAAAAAGAAGAAAAAAGTAATCGAAACAAGGTACTGTAACATCAAAGATAATAATGAAATAATACCATAAGCAATTAAGTTAGTTAGCAAGTTAATCTACTAGTATGATGTAATATATTTGACATCTGTATAAAGACAACAACGTAAGATGAGTACATTATTTTCCTACTCTTTTTTTTTTTCACTTACATTCAGTTATAAAAAAATAACTAAGGTAAAACTGAAAACTGTTGAAAGAGTTTATACAATAGACACTGTTAGTTCTGATCAAGATCTTCTAAAACTATTCATGAAAACTATGGGGTCTATACTTTAGTTTTGATACTTTTAATATTGATGAGTATCTGGGTTCCGATTTTTAAGTTGTTAGGTTAGTTCTGGACTTTATTAGATTGCTGTTTCATAGTTCAGAACAGGAGTCAAGTGAAGACGAGAATGAAGACGAGGAGCAAAGAGATGATCTGGTGCGGCCTGAAATGCTTTCACCAGAAGAGCTGGAGAAACTGAAGGAAGCTGTGGAGGACAGGAAAAAACTTATCCAGGGTCTGAGAGGAAAGCCTTGGCCAATGAAACAGAAACTAGTCACTTTAAAGTAAATAAACCTTTTGTGATTTCAGAAAACAATTGGTAGAAGTTTATATGAAGATCATATCTCATAATTACAGGGAGTCTCAGGAGTTCGTAGAAAAATATGAAGGCGCACTGGGAAAAGGCAAAGGAAGGAAGTTCTATGCATACAAAGTCATGATGACCAAAGTAAGTTATAGGAAATAATACGTATGTATTTAGGTATTAACACTAATCATTATAATATTCTGTATGTTTTATTTAGAAATGGATGAAATTTCAAAGAGATTTTGAAAATTTTAAAACAGCTTGCATCCCATGGGAAATGAAAATAAAGGAAATAGAAAGTAGGTTCATAACAGCTAATGTTATTGGCAATGAGCAAAATCTCACTGATATACCATCTGCTACAGGCCATTTTGGGTCCTCAGTGGCGTCATACTTCCTCTTTTTGAGGTGGATGTATGGTATCAACATGATTTTGTTTGGTCTGACCTTTGGCCTGGTCATGGTACCAGAGGTAAAAGTCATCTTCAACATTTTAGTCTCTGTGTCTTTGAACCTATACAAACTTTAACATTTTCTTCAACAAACAGGCACTGATGGGGCGTCCCTATGGCAGTATTCCGAGAAAGACTGTTCCGAGAGCCGAGGAGGGTGGTGCCATGGACTTTGCAGTTTTATGGGACTTTGGGGTCAGTAAAGTATTAAAGGTCAACAAATCAAAATTTTGTTGACTTTTTGTTATTTTAAAATGACTTTCTTCCACAGGGTTATGCACAGTATTCAGTGCTTTTTTATGGTTATTATAACAATCAGCGTGCCATTGGCTGGCTCAAGTATCGCTTGCCTCTGTCTTACTTCCTAGTCGGTGTGGGCACGGTTGCCTATAGCTACATGGTGGTCATTAGAACGTAAGATAATGCCACACTCATTATTAATTCTTTGTAACAGTGTCAACAGTGCTTTATGCTTGATAAACCTTTTTTTTTTTTTTTTTTTTTTTTTTTTAGAATGGCCCGTAATGCAAATGAAGGTGGAGTTGGAGATGACAACAGCTTTAATTTCAGTTGGAAAATGTTCACTAGTTGGGACTATCTGATTGGAAACCCTGAAACCGCAGACAATAAGTTTGCCTCCATTACTACCTGCTTCAAGGTTGTAAACATTTATATCTAAGATATAAATATATAATTTTGTTGTAATGGTAATGCTCATTTTCATATACTAAACTAGGAAGCTATCTTAGAGGAACAAGAAAGTCGAAAAGATGACAATATCCACCTGACTCGTTTTTTGCGGGTTCTGGCCAATTTCCTGGTCCTTTGCTGCTTGGCAGGAAGTGGGTACCTCATTTACTTTGTAGTGCGGCGCTCTCAGAAGTTTACACTGGATGGGTTGGAGAATCACAGCTGGTGGGAGAGAAATGAGGTAAATAGACTTAGATACAGCTGCTTAGTACTGTTCTCTTAACAAGAGAAGGAAAAGTTTCCATTTTATTACAGATGCAGAATTAACTCACCAGTGACTCACAGTAGCCCACAGACTTCTGGTGTATACTGTACCTGTGCTATTAGCGGTCTTCTCTGAGACATGCATGAATCAGCTCTTTTATCCTCCCACTTGTCAGTCTGAGATCTGGGTGTCTTTCAGGTGAATATGGTCATGTCATTACTGGGGATGTTTTGCCCCATGCTGTTTGACGTTATCAGCACCCTGGAGAACTACCACCCCCGTGTGGCTCTGCAGTGGCAGCTTGGACGCATCTTCGCCCTCTTTTTGGGCAACTTGTATACCTTTATCATTGCTCTAATGGATGAGATTAACGTCAAAGTGAGGATTTTGTGTGTGTTTGTTTGCTATTATGTGTTGTGCTGTAGTTAAAAAAACATGTGTCCCAGAGAGAGGAGGAGAAGATAGTCAAGTATAATATCACTATGTGGGAAGCCAGTCTTTATAACGGAACCTTATCAGAAAACAGCACAGCTCCACCAATCACAGTGCACCCTGCTGATGTCCCCCGAGGGCCCTGCTGGGAGACGATGGTGGGCCAAGTCAGTGTGTGGGGTTCTTCATTATGTAACACTAACACTTTATTATTATACGCTATGTTTTATGCATAGGCTAAAATTTACATCTATGTGACGACTTTAATCTTCCTAGGAGTTTGTCCGGCTAATTATTTCTGATACGATGACAACATATATCACTCTTCTGATTGGTGATTTCTTGAGAGCTGTTCTTGTTCGGTTCCTTAACTACTGCTGGTGCTGGGATCTGGAGGCTGGATTTGTGAGTCATAATATATTTATATATTATATTTATATGTTTATATTATTATATTTTTATTCATTCTTCTTATGTCCCTCTCAAAAGCCATCATATTCTGAATTTGACGTGAGCGGCAATGTCCTAGGGCTCATCTTCAACCAAGGAATGATATGGTAACACAAACAACTGTGTATTTAGAAGCTGTTTTCTGTGTTGTTTTGTGTAACATTAATCAGAAGTGTATTTTACCTGTTTTGTAACTCAGGATGGGTGCGTTTTATGCCCCTTGCTTGCCCGCCTTGAATGTCCTTCGTCTTCATGTCTCCATGTATCTCCAGTGCTGGGCCGTGATGTGCTGTAATGTGCCACAAGAAAGAGTTTTTAAGGCTTCTGGATCCAATAACTTTTACATGGCCATGCTCTTAGTAATCCTCTTCCTCTCCACTCTGCCAGCTATATATACTATAGTCAGCATCCCTCCTTCATTTGACTGTGGACCATTCAGGTGAGAAGAGCCCCTCTATAAAAGTACTTTAGGTTTGTACTTTTCTCTAACTTTGTATTCTGTTGCATTGACAGTGGGAAGAATCGTATGTTTGATGTAATTCAAGAGACACTGGAGTCAGACTTCCCAGCCTGGTTTGGTAAAGTCTTCAGCTATGCCTCCAACCCTGGACTAGTGCTGCCCTTCATATTACTCATGGTGTAAGTAGAACGTAAATATTGTGTTCTAAAATGCTGTGACTTTGTGTAATTTTAACCTTGTATCCCTTTTCTTAGCCTGGCCATATATTACTTGCAGTCCACATCAAAAAGTTACAAACAAGCTAATGTGGAACTAAAGAAGAAACTTCAAACGGTACCTAGGCATTTACTGCATCATATCTGAGCCTGAATTAAATTGTAGTTTATATCTTAAAGAGCATTATGTCACTTTTCTGGTAGTGGATCTACTGGTTGTCTCCATGGAGATGTTATTGCTTTGCCAAAGGTTCCCCTATATAGCGATAGCAATTTTTTAACATGTTATTATGGATGTTTAAATTTCTTCAAAATCCCTTGAAAAGCATACATTCTCACTGTGAATGAAATCTCCTTTCCACTCGCAGTGTTGTGTTTATGTACCGTTACAAATTGCGCAGAAGAGGGCAGTAGAGTGAACATTACTAAGGGCAACAGTAATGAGCATAGGCTATGTGTGTGTGTGTGTGTGTGTGTGTGTGTGTGTGTGTGTGTGTGTGTGTGTGTGTGTGTGTGTGTGTGTGTGTATACACATACTGTGGTAACGTGCTAGTATTTTAAAGTCTGTCTCTTTCCAAAAGCAAAACGAGGAGAACAAGAAAAAGAACAAAAGAGCAGCACTAAAAGCAGCAATGGATCTGGAGGAGGCTAGGAAAGCGGCAGAGCAAAAGGAAAATATGAAATCTTCAGCACCTCAAGAGTATGAAAGTAAGATGAGCCTTATTCAATTAGGCTTCGACATTTTTGAGAGACCTAAGTAAGTGTTTTTACTTTCTAGACATTGAATGGAAGGACGACCACAGACAAAGACAGTACCAGAGACGTGAAGTTCGCCAACAGCCCACGAGAAGTCCGGGCTCCAGACCCCCCCACCACCATGCCAACTACGGGGGCCCTGGGTACCTGCCCGGGGCTCCGCGGCAGACGGAGCCGAGGATGCACCGAACGTTAAACGTGCCAAGATATTAAGCAGTAAGGACAGTAGTAAATTGAAAACAACGCACCTTAAAGACTCCATGAGCTGTCCATTGAATACGTGTTTACGAAGTTGCTTTGCTTTTTACAACGTTATTTTAATTTTGCTGCATGAGTTTAGCCCATGAGTTAGCCCATATACAACCACTGGAGACCAGTGTTTTTTTGTTTGTTTGTTTGTTTTTTTTGTTTTTTTTCTTGCACTGAAATGTTCAGCGTTATTAGTTTATATCTATCTAGTGGATGTAAACACTGAATTGTGTTTAAGCAAGGAGACATACCTCCAAATATGACTGTTAGATTACCACACAGCCATATTCAATCTCTGAGGTCAGATCAATCAAGATGATACATGACAAACCTGGCTGTCCAATGTAGGCAACTTCTTGACCTACTTACTAACGTAATGATATAAAAGTCATCGAGCTGGATCTCTGAAATATGTTATAAGTAGCTTTTAACAATTTATAAAAGCCAATGACATTAAATTACAGTGGTTTCAGAGTTGTATTGATGGACATTATCAATTAATGGCTAGTAAGCATTAAGTATTCATTCTGCAGCTATTTGAGATAGGACAAGGTAGAAAGTGCTTATGTGATATTCTTTTATTAAGTGCCAGGAAATTAATCACATTATTTATTTATTTATTTTTTACATTGTTCCTGAAAGCACCCAGTCTGAGAACCATATTAACACCTGTGACCACATGATCCATGTCCTGGCTGCCCGCTGTTTCACCCTAAAACTAGTGCTGTGTTTTGGCTGTGTCCCAGTCTGCTCCTACAGAAAACTGAGCCATGATGGGTTACACATTACCGGACATCTCAATGTCCGCTGTACTGCACAAGCATCTCCTATTCACTACATTAATGAATGAGACTAGTCTAGTATGAGCTGTGATTTCACTTTCATTGTTTTTCTGCAGATCAAATGGTCAATCCTTTAACAAAATGTACTAAAATGTTTTAAAGAAAACTGACCTGCACAAAAAATATGCCATAGAGAATAAAGTTGTCCAGAAGATCAATACCTTGATGCTAAACAATACTAAGACTAATTGAAACTAGATATTCACATGAACACATATCAATAATGAAAAGGAACACAGTCTGACCTTTCCTGCTTAAGTTATGTTTTTTTTTTTATATAAATACAAGACCAGATGAAAATATTATTAAAACAAAACAATCATTTATTTGTTTGTGTAATTATATTGTGTTATAAAAATACAGTTTTTAGTAGTGTCAATACTTTTCTTTAGTAACTCCACATCACTAGTGCTATGGTAAAGGTTCACTGTTAATTTATTATGGATGCTTTAGTACTTTTCCTGTACGCTTTTACTGGTGAAAAACACAGTTTATCTATGATCCTAGAATACTTTGGACCCTCTCCTCTGTTGTACTATAGCATCTCCTGTTTCCTTGTATTATTTAACAGCTCACATCTGTCATTTGACTTTACCCAGTGTGGTTACAGTCAGATTATATTATATAAACAAACAAGCTTAGGTGTGCAGCGTTTTTCTAATTTACCATTTTCAACTTCACCATCTTGAGTGACCTAAAATAATTAGATCATGTAAAGTAAAAAATAAAGCACTAGTTGATATATTCTAATATATGCAGTTATGTATACCCTTATTAATCTCTATCTAGTAATTTCAGTTTCACTTGTTTCAAAGAACATTTTTATGATCAAACATTAGTTAAAAAAAAGAAGAAGCTTTTTAGTATCTTTCTTTTTGCACGAATATCAAAGAAATCTGACTATTGTTATCTACTGTACCCACCAGACCTTTAATGTCAAATGTCAAAGTTTTTGGTGTCCCTCTGTATAGGATTGCTTGATAGATTAGCATGTGGATTGACAACCCCATTGTATGAGTTTCCTTCCCCCTGAGCTACTGATTATCATCTCATGGAGTCCGTCTGTTACGGTCACCAAGGAGCTGCCTTACGCACCACTTAAATACCTGAGCAGGGAGAGACACACCTGCTCCTCCTCGGGTCAGTGTCGGTGTGTTACATATGTGCCAGTGGGGCTTTCTGGAAACATCGGCCATGGAGAAGAGGCCACAGTTTTCATAAATGGAATAGTTTCATTTGAAGTGGATACAGCTGCAGCCTCAAGATGCCTCCAAAACGGAAAAATAATCCTGTAAAGGTGGAAGATGGTAAGTTTTTTTTTAACAGTTCATGTATTTCCTTTTTAATTTCCATTTACTGAACAATGTTGTATTTTTTTATCCATAGTTGGGATGGACGTGGATGCTGTGACTGATGATGACAGTGAAGGTACGATGTTAGTTATAGCAAGTAAATTTGAATCAGTCATAATATATACAAACATAATACTGAAGGGAATAT